AAACACCAATTTGAATCCAAAATAAATAACAAATGCACGGATTTCACTTTATCGTTTAGAGAACAAATAAATTATTTAATGTATTAATGATCTTTTATTTCAGAGTGATTATTTAAGTCTAGTGGAACAGTGTATGAACTTTGCATGTGAATTAATGGATTTATGTCGAGGTACGACGGAAGTAGAGGCTGTTCTTAGTGAAGGGAGTGGCGAAGCTGCTAAAAAGGATCCTTTATTTAGATTGAAAATGGCCGTGAGTTATGAAGAAAGAAAGGTAAAGGTTTATTCAGATGTTTTATTTTAAGTGCATTATAATTAGTCAGGGCTACTAATACAGTTTTACATTGAAATATCTAAAAATGGAAACCGATATTTCACGTTGTAAATTATACAGTAACACAAAAAAGCTTTAATAAACAAAAACCTGTAGAATGCAACCTCTAAAAGGCAATTCGATTAACAGAGAGACGGAGAGAAATAACCACAAAATATCAGTTTGAGTTAATCGATGACTCTGTTTTAAGATTGCACTACCCAGATGCTTTGTATCGTGTAGTATCTTGCTACATTATATTATAAGAAATTTAGTCTTGTTTAATATGAATTCCACCTGGAGAGTCCAAAGATCATATTTAATATTGTAGGTGGATAAGATAAGTTTTCTATTTTCTACATTATAACATATTAGATAATATAGAAATAAACATACAAGCTCAACTTCCGAAAAAACTTTTTTCGATAATCAGCTCTTTTAGGTGTGTTCACAATCAGAGTCAAGATTATTTCTCTGTTTTTGATTTTTTAAAGACTTTTGATAATTGATATTGTTTTGGTTGGGATGCCTTTAGTGGAGAAGACGTCAGAAGCACACAATGATCTAGATGAAAAGTATGTTAAACCCCACAAGAAACGTTCCACAAGGACCAACTTTAGCTGTAGGTTTTATGCTTTGAGGTTTATCAGATAAACATGAATTTCTTGTTTACTTTCAGTTTGTTGCCCATCCAAATTGCCAGCAGCATATGACAAGTATATGGTATGGATCTGAGATGGGTTTTCTGCAGTCTTTAAGTTGGTACCGCAAACTAATCTACCTGATATTATTCCTTCCCGCCATTCCTTTCTTATGTATTATTTATATATTCGCGCCAAATAGTAAGGTAAGTAGAATTTATTTTTCTTTGAAGTTCTATTATGTTGATCTTTTCATTGAAATTTCTGCCTCTTCATCAACATGAAATTAGCCCTTTAGTTGCTTAACATTATTAAGTGATCTGATGTGTCCGGTTTTTTGGGCAGTAACGGGGTTTTCCAAAGAAATATTGGACCATTGTTAAGGTAATATTGTTGTTTCTATGAGACGACTATTGTTAAAGTTATAATGTAGTATCTATGAGATGACTATTGTTGTAGTTATAATGTATTATCTATGAGACGACTATTGTTGAAGTTATAATGTATTACCTATGAGATGACTATTGTTGAAGTTATAATGTATTACCTATGAGATGACTATTATTGAAGCTACAATGTATTACCTATGAGATGACTATTATTGAAGTTATAATGTATTACCTATGAGATGACTATTGTTGTAGTTATAATGTAGTATTTATGAGACGACTATTGTTGTAGTTATCATGTATTATCTATGAGATGACTATTGTTGAAGTTATAATGTATTATCTATGAGATGACTATTGTTGAAGTTATAATGTATTATCTATGAGACGACTATTGTTGTAGTTATAATGTAGTATCTATGAGATGACTATTGTTGTAGTTATAATGTAGTATTTATGAGACGACTATTGTTGTAGTTATCATGTATTATCTATGAGATGACTATTGTTGTAGTTATAATGTATTATCTATGAGACGACTATTGTTGTAGTTATAATGTATTATCTATGAGACGACTATTGTTGAAGTTATAATGTATTATCTATGAGATGACTATTATTGAAGTTATAATGTATTATCTATGAGACGACTATTGTTGTAGTTATAATGTAGTATCTATGAGACGACTATTGTTGAAGTTATAATGTATTATCTATGAGATGACTATTATTGAAGTTATAATGTTTTATCTATGAGACGACTATTGTTGAAGTTATAATGTATTACCTATGAGATGACTTTTGTTGAAGTTATAATGTATTACCTATGAGATGACTATTATTGAAGTTACAATGTATTACCTATGAGATGACTATTATTGAAGTTATAATGTATTACCTATGAGATGACTATTGTTGTAGTTATAATGTAGTATTTATGAGACGACTATTGTTGTAGTTATCATGTATTATCTATGAGAGGACTATTGTTGAAGTTATAATGTATTATCTATGAGATGACTATTGTTGAAGTTATATTGAAGTATCTATGAGACGACTATTGTTGAATTTACAATGTATTATCTATGAGACGACTATTGTTGAAGTTATAATGTAGTATCTATGAGACGATTATTGTTGTAGTTTTAATGTAGTATCTATGAGACGACTATTGTTGTAGTTATAATGTAGTATATATGAGACGATTATTGTTGAAGTCATAATGTAGTATCTATTAGACGACTATTGTTGAAGATATAATGTATTATCTATGAGACGACTATTGTTGTAGTTATAATGTAGTATCTATGAGACGATTATTGTTGTAGTTATAATGTAGTATCTATGCGACGACTATTGTTGAAGTTGTAATGTAGTATCTATGAGACGATTATTGTTGTAGTTATAATGTAGTATCTATGAGACGACTATTGTTGAAGTTATAATGTAGTATCTATGAGACGACTATTGTTGAAGTTATAACGTTTTATCTATGAGACGACTATTGTTGAAGTTAGTATCTATGAGACGACTATTGTTGAAGTTATAATGTATTATCTATGAGACAACTATTGTTGAAGTTATAATGTATTATCTATGAGACAACTATTGTTGAAGTTATAATGTATTATCTATGAGACGACTATTGTTGAAGTTATAATGTATTATCTATGAGACAACTATTGTTGAAGTTATAATGTATTATCTACTAGACGACTATTGTTGTAGTTATAATGTAGTATCTATGAGACGACTATTGTTGAAGTTATAATGTAGTATCTATGAGACGACTATTGTTGAAGTTATAATGTAGTATCTATGAGACGACTATTGTTGAAGTTATAATGTATTATCTATGAGACAACTATTGTTGAAGTTATAATGTATTATCTATGAGACAACTATTGTTGAAGTTATAATGTATTATCTATGAGACGACTATTGTTGAAGTTATAATGTATTATCTATGAGACAACTATTGTTGAAGTTATAATGTATTATCTATGAGACGACTATTGTTGAAGTTATAATGTATTATCTATGAGACGACTATTGTTGAAGTTATAATGTATTACCTATGAGACGACTATTGTTGAAGTTATAATGTATTATCTATGAGACGACTATTGTTGAAGCTATAATGTATTATCTATGAGACGACTATTGTTGAAGTTACAATGTAGTATCTACTAGACGACTATTGTTGTAGTTATAATGTATTATCTATGAGACGACTATTGTTGAAGTTATAATGTATTATCTATGAGACGACTATTGTTGAAGTTATAATGTATTATCTATGAGACGACTATTGTTGAAGTTATAATGTAGTACCTATGAGACGACTATTGTTGTAGTGACAGTGTAGTATCTATAAGACGACTATTGTTGAAGTTATAATGTATTATCTATGAGACGACTATTGTTGTAGTGACAGTGTAGTATCTATAAGACGACTATTGTTGAAGTTATAATGTATTATCTATGAGACGACTATTGTTGTAGTGACAGTGTAGTATCTATAAGACGACTATTGTTGAAGTTATAATGTATTATCTATGAGACGACTATTGTTGTAGTGACAGTGTAGTATCTATAAGACGACTATTGTTGAAGTTATAATGTATTGTCTATGAGACGACTATTGTTGTAGTGACAGTGTAGTATCTATAAGACGACTATTGTTGAAGTTATAATGTATTATCTATGAGACGACTATTGTTGTAGTGACAGTGTAGTATCTATAAGACGACTATTGTTGAAGTTATAATGTATTATCTATGAGACGACTATTGTTGAAGTTATAATGTAGTATCTATGAGACGACTATTGTTGTAGTGACAGTGTAGTATCTATAAGACGACTATTGTTGAAGTTATAATGTATTATCTATGAGACGACTATTGTTGAAGTTATAATGTAGTATCTATGAGACGGCTATTGTTGAAGTTATAATGTAGTATCTATGAGACGACTATTGTTGTAGTGACAGTGTAGTATCTATAAGACGACTATTGTTGAAGTTATAATGTATTATCTATGAGACGACTATTGTTGTAGTGACAGTGTAGTATCTATAAGACGACTATTGTTGAAGTTATAATGTATTATCTATGAGACGGCTATTGTTGAAGTTATAATGTAGTATCTATGAGACGACTATTGTTGTAGTGACAGTGTAGTATCTATAAGACGACTATTGTGAAGTTATAATGTAGGGGATCCTCA